TGATATTTAGTGTCTATATGAACAGGGGGTTGGGACCTCGATTTCACATCTCATCCAAAAAACAGCATGTCTGACAATGCAGTCCCCCTGGAGTGTCAGCCTAGACTTTGAGTTAAAACCCACAACTGTGTGCCCCAGAGGCGAGAGAGCTGCTAACTGAACCAAGATGACTTGGCTCAATAAGTAGAAGGAACGCTTAACATATTAAATTAAAAGTTATTGAAGCTGAAGCTCAAGCTGTTTAATGCAACAATACCGAAATTGCTCCATTGCTTGTAAAACATGTGTTGTGTTTTGATACTGATTTAGGAGGAGGAAGAGTGTGGGAGTCCTAATTCCCCTTCTGCCTTAGAAAGGATTTTCTTTTGAGTAATTTCTTTGTCATTCTATAGATTTTTAAAAAATTCCTGATGAACTTATCACATGTTTAACAGTAAAACACAATTGATATGTGGGCGTTTTGAGTCTTGATTGTATTGAGAACCCCACTTCTTAGTTTCTTCTTAGCCTCGAAATAGATAGTTGAAAAAACAACAGAAGACTTCTAATACAAGACTTCAATACAAGACTTCTGATCAGAATTCGTATCCAAGTATTTGAAATTGATATTGGAACAACTGGAAGTGAGACACTTGACCCAAACACACAAGTTATTTTGACTCATCCACACAGACTGGCAAGAGTAGAAAATGGTGATGAATGTAAAGCCACACAAAAAAAAACATTTTCTAAAGTCTCATTATACTGGTGAAGCAATCTATTAAATGCCAAGATTTATTTCTGGGCATAAAGTTCTCACCACTAACAGCTGAAGCTCATCAAAGGGGTTGATGTGTTGTGGCAAAGAAAGTTAGCAAGATATCTAAAGTTAATACAACACTAGAATATTGGAAGAAGAACATCTACAAAACAACAACAACAAGATTACATTTGTATAGTGCCTTTCACGTCGGGAGGACGTCCTAAGGTGCTGGACAGTGTACAGCATTTCAGATCCAAGCTGGGGTAAGGGGGAGAAGGGAGGGGAAGTGGGGTGGCCAATGGTACGGTCGAAGAGGAGGGTTTTGAGGCGGGACTTGAAGGAGGCTAAGGAGGGGGCGAGGTGGAGTGATTGGGGGATGGAGTTCCAGAGGTTGTGGGCAGAGTGGCTGAAGGCTCTCCCGCCAATGGTGGTGGGGGTGGGTAGGGGGACGTGAAGCAGGCCGGAGCCAGCTGAGCGGAGGGAGCGGGCGGGTTGGTAGGGGGTTAGGAGGTCACAGAGATAGGGTGAGGCGAGGCCATTGAGGGCTTTGTAGGTGAGGACCAGGATTTTGAACTGGATCCTCTGAAGGATAGGGAGCCAATGGAGTCGGGCGAGAATGGGGGAGATGGGGTCACGGAGTTTGGTGCGGGAGGACACGGGCTGCAGAGTTCTGGATTATCTGCAGCCTGTGGAGGGAGGAGTTGGAAAGGCCGACAAGCAGAGCATTTACATAGTCGAGCCTGGAGGTGATGAAGGCAAGAGTTTCAGCAGCCTGAAGGGTGAGACAGTGGCGGAGTCAGGCGATGTTACGGAGGCGAGGGAAGGCAAAGCGGGTCATGGCTTTGATTTGGGGAAGAAAAGACAGTTGAGGGTCGAACAAGACACCTAGGTTCCTGACTGGCTTGGTGAGTTGTAGTGTGCAACCATGGAGGTTGATGCTGCCAGAGCCTGAGGTGCTGAGGCGCGAGGTTAGAGATGGGGCGGTAGCTGGAGAATAGGGGTAGATCCAGGGAAGGTTTTTTCAACGCAACATGTCCAGTAACCAAAGCAAAAACTGAGCTGAGAAAAAATCTAATTTTGAAATAATAAGAAGTGAAAGGCAGAATTAACTGTGATCCAACTGTTCAACTCCATTTCCAGCATGAACTATGCTTCTGACTCAACTGACTCTGGTAAATCATGCCTATTTTACTATAAAATGTTTCATGTACTACAATCTGTTACCAGTATTGCTTTCGGCAACATGCATTAAAACAATAGAGATCCAAATGCTTTTGGTTCTTTTTCAATTGTTTTCAATATCTGCAGCACAGTCTGCTTTACTGTTTTCAACTTCCTGAAAATATTTTTTCGTAGCAAATTCAGTACATAAACAGGTCATTCAGCCCCAAATTACAGGATATACTAGCTCTTCATTGGAGTTATTTGCTCTGATTCTATTTTTTTACTTGATTTTGCTTTTCATTTTGGCCTTCAATTTATGTACAGTCTATCACAACTCAAGAATTAAGCAAAACCTTGTTCTAATATAATCACAGATTAGGCTAATTTATGTCTCATCTATTGCATCGAAACACAGCAAGCTATTATGATTCTTGAAGGGGAAAGAGAATAAGATCCAAGTCTCTACCCACAACAGGAAGAAGCTGATGTGCCTGAGGATGGGATGGAAACACAAGAAATGCAAGAGAGTCCATTTGGAGATCAAATGTTACAAAATGCACTTAGTCCAAAAATATTTTTCCCATAATTTGTAATGCAAGAGGGATACTAAGAGTACTTAGATTATAGGATTAGGGATATCCAGCAATGCATACCTGTCACTGGTTTGCTTCTAATGTGGCAATGAGGAGGGTGTATAATACAATGTATTGTGTTCTGTTTATATTTGTTATATTTTCATTTGATATACACTCTGCATGTGTGGTCATACTGAGGATGAAATGAAGGTTTGGGTTAATTCTGAAGTTGTACAGAAGTCCAAATTTCATCCCAAAACGAAAGTTTCCATAGTTTTGAAGCCAAGTTGATGATTTAATCAAATTGAATAGACTTTAGCAATATCTGGATTTGCACAAAAATGTTAGTCACTTGGAATTATTTGTTACTTGCTGCTTAGTGGATTATCCTGGCTCAACCAGAAATTGAATCCATGATTTTTGGAAAACGTATTGTGAGCAAATAAGATGAATCCTCATTCACGTTGTTGAAACATCTCAACGCACTTCACAGGAAGTACTGTAAAGTGGATCTACTGTGTATTTTGTGGGAAAAACGCAGTAGAGAGATGAGCACAGCAATGTCCCACAAACGGCCACGGAGTGAGTGAATAATTATTTTATTTGGGGGATTGTTGGCCAGGACACCAGGAAAAACCAGGAGTTGGTGCTGTTCAATTCCGTTGGAACCCAAGTCAGATTTGCCACAGTAACTTTAGAGATTCAAGCAAAATCTATTACTACAGAAACTGAAGTTCACTTACTGCAATTTGAGCTGAATCCAGACTAGGTTTTAATTTGTATACTTTAGTATCATGTAAGCAAACTGCAAGCTTTGTAATGTAGAAAAGTGTTGTGTAACATGCTGTACAATCCTCCTCAATCTTTCTGTATTATTGTATAGCTGACCATAATCCTCTTCATTTGAACTGGCTTTTCAAGTAATGTCAAAGTTGGCTGTACAATGCTTTCTCCCTCCATTCCCTGATGCTTGAACATTTCCAAGCGCTCTCAGCTTCTTTCACTGGCAAGACTGTACAGCTTTCAAAAACTTTTTCAGTATAAACCCTCACACCACCTTCTTTCCTATAACTTATTTTTGTTGAAGTACATTTTTCTGTTACATCTCACCTAGTTCAGTGCCTGCACTGAAGTAAGAGTTTCATATACTAATACTGAGGTTAAAATGCCAAGTAAAGTAATTTCCTGATAACTTGACTGTGGCCTAACTTGTCACTGCCAATTAAGTTATCCTGTTCTCAATATCCCAGCCATGTTTATTCACATTTTCATGTATCTGCCTAACTGGCCACTCCTGATAACTCACCACTGAGCCCTTTTCCCTTGGAGTGATGAGTTATCAGGAGTTCACTGTAACTGAGAACAGCCTAGAAGTAAAGAGAGAGGAAATGATGATAATGGAAAAAATAATTAAAAAATCAATTAATGGATTTGCATCTCTTTTCTGTCATGAAAATAAAATAATAAAATCTGATGGAATGAATGGTAAAGAATAAACCTCCAAGGAAAGACCATAGATCTACCAGAAAAATATGAACACAGCCAATGGAAAGGATAAAACTGGTCTTCAGATTGAAAGTCATAACCAAAGAAATACCTCAACTTGTCAAATGTAGTCTCGTGTAAGAATTGGGTGAACTTCAACAATGAGGACCCAGTAGGAATGTTATATTAGATTCCTGTGAAAATGATCTGTTAGGTGATAAGGCTTCTGCATTGTGTAACAAATATGTGCTATCACCCGAGCTCCATTGAACTCTGAGTAATGCTTTATAAATGGGCAGAACATGCATGTTGGAGAACTAAATTGAGATTGAGGCAATTTTAATTAACAGTGGATTTAGAGCACTGGTTGCTGCTCGCCATTCAATGGCAGTCACATGCTATATGGTTTCCACAGAGCACTTAGAAAATGTTTCCCATTATATGGTGGAAAACATCCATTGACTAGCTAGTCTCACAACCCAACAGCCTGGCAAAAATAGTTGTAAGCTACACCTGTTTATACTGGAAAAGCAATTTGACATCCTTCCAGTATTCGAATGATTTTGAGCAGGAAACCTGATTAGATCAACTCTGAATTACTTTTGCTAGGAGCTGAGTTGACGCACGGACAAACCAAACACAAGCACAGAGCTTTGCTAAAGGCATCTAACACTGATTTGTTTCATGAATGTAATTAAGGGGCAAGTGTGCCATATTGCTTTTTAAAACATTACAACCACAAGAGCTTTTAACATTAATATTCTATATGTTTATATGTTTGTCAGATTAAAATGCAGTGTAATCAGATTAATACCTCCTGACAGTATGAATTCCATTCTGTTAACCAGCTCTTGAAGATATCTTTCAGAGGTGGTTCAAAATCAAATCAATACCTCTAAAATCTTTTATACCACACTTGTAATGTCAAAGTGGTCTTAAAGGTGCTGTATAAAAGATTTATTTGTGTGCCGATTTGCAGAACGTACACTTTGATGCACAGTTAATATTTGATTTAAATTGTATTTGTTTTCCAGATGCAAAGATGGACTCCAGGGATTTGCCTTCTCAGCACTCAAGTAAGTAAGATTTGAATGTGCATTGTGAGAAATCCATCTGTTTTGTATTTTGAGTCTAATTATAAATTACAGATAAGTTTAAAAAGTGGCTTGTTCTTATTGACAGCTTTTACTCATGTAACCCTCTAATACCAGTAATTGAGTAAAGGTGTTTTTATTTTTAAGACAGCTACATCAATTTACTATTTAATTTGTGGGTTGTGTTAAACATGTGTAAACACATATATAAATATGACCACTCAATCCACGATTGTTTGTGGGACACTGCTGAATGCATTTTGCTGCTGCTTTTTGCCCACAACATATACAGTCAATTCACTTTGTATATTTTGTGAAGCGCTTTGAGACGTTTCAGTGATGTAATAAGGCAATATATCAAATGCAAGGTTTATTACTGTTATTATAATAAAGAAGGAATTCATGGTAAATAATTTTCAATTAACCAATGAAAAGGATTACAGATTCATTTGTAGTAATTGCTTTATGCATGTGTTTAACATGGTTAGCACAGTGCATCTTTGGGTGATCATGTGTGATTTGTCAAATCTTACTTGAAGCAGGCGAAATACATGACTAATTATTGTTACATTCATAGATTCCGAAGAAGAGGTAACCTGCATCTGCCTCCTATTTCTTAATTGTCTCAGCTGATTTTATCAGTAACACAAGATTTTGTTTTGTGTTGAGTTTCCCTTGAAGAACTGAACTCATTTAACCATGTTGAACAATATTGGATATGGCAAGAGACTTCACAGACAATTATTACTTTCTTTTTTATATAATAACCTTAAATTTATGCTCACTACATTATTGGGTCACCATTCATGAATTTTGTTTAATATTGTGCAGCTCCTGTTTTGTATGACCTACTAAGACAATGACTCCAATAGGAGTTCTGGGACTGAATGCATTAGATATTTGCTTGCTTGCTATTTCTTGTATATGCTAATAATGTTTCCTGTCTGTTAGGTTTATTGTTGGAAAGGAAGAAATCCCAACACATTCACTTTTGTCAGAGATGAGGCCTTCTGCTGCATCTAGTACCTATGCTACTGAACAACAGGCTATAGAAGATCCACACAGGAAGAGCAGCAGGTCTTTGCTAGCCTTGACCAAACGGCTTGTTGACAGAATGTAAGTTTTTTTTAATAGATATATGTATATACATATAAATTTGGTGTGTTCTGTTATTTTGTAATCTTCTCCCCACTGGCATATCCCTCTGCTGGGTTCCTTGTTTCACAGAGGCTGGTTGCTCAATTTAGACAATTGCATTTCAGTGTTGGGCCAAGAGTTTTGTGTATTTATCCCTTGCAATTTTCTTTCCTTTGATGAAGATTTTTGGATGCATTTTGTCTTTTACTGTCATATAGTTCCCTGAGTGCCAGACACTCCTTAGCAACTCACTCAATATTATGCTGTATAGACTTCGACAAACCCAATCCTGTCCTTATAAGCCCCTCCAGCAGGGGTTTCCTGATTTCCTGATCGCAATCAAGAGCAGGAACCCTTGTTGATTCTTCTCTTCCTGAATGTATGTTTTAAATCTAAGATTTAAACAATTTGATCCATCTAAAGATGGCAGTGGACCATAGCACAGTGTTTCACACCAGAAATCAAAAATATACTGCAGTAAAACACCAATTTCATCCTTGTTCAAAGGGTGCAGTCTGTTTCATTTTACTCCACTTGAATCTATAGGTTCACAAAAGCTAAATTGATTCCGCCATCATTTTCTCTAGCCCGGGCTCCAACTCCACTCTGTCTTTGTAAAGCTCTCTAAGACATTTTCCAATGTGAAAAGTGCTCTCAGTGCAAATTGTTATTGTTGTTGAGTCACTCCTGTTGCCTTCAGTTACACTGGCATCCGGAGAGGTGTGGGAATAGGCTGCCCATCTTTTTCATTAGGGTATGTTTGAGGTGCAGAACATCAGGAACTCCGCTCCACATTCTGCTTGAGAAGTGGAGTTTTTGTGGGTCGGTGTGATATCCTTCTGTCAGAAAACGAACCATTTCTGATTTGTGATCTTATTGAAAACATTCTGTTCAAAGTTGCTATGTTTTAGATCCTATTGTGTTGGAATGTCGAATGCTTCAGCACTGCACTATCTTGTGCTTAATTCTATTAATTTGTTTTGTATATTTATTTGGGGCCTGCTGATTCCTTTATATGTACTAAATTCTGTGTTGACAGAATGTGAATTTGAGCACTTCCCTGTCTGCAATTGAGCCTGTACATTTCTGTATATCCATTAGACATGGAAGGAAAATAAATGTTTCAACTGTTCTAATGAAAGGTCAACCTTTCAGTAATTCAAGGGTTAGTGCAGCAGGCTGAGGAAATCCAGTGTCACTTCATCTGGCCAAGAAAACAGGATACTGTCCTGTTAATGATTCAGTATTCACATCACAATCTAGAATTATTAACCTTGTAAGATCATGTGTTACTCAGGTCACTGTGGAACACATAACTTAAAGCCTCAGTGAATTTCTCCTTGTTAACCAAAACGATCTTTGTTGATTTAATTAATGATGGATGAAATGTTTGACGATGAAATAAACCTCTTGTTAAGCCAACTTGAACATTTGTGTGGGAGAGCAGAGTTATTACAACGACTGCAGTGTTTGAAATGACCACTTGACACTTTCACTGGAACGAACTGCTATTAAATTCTGGGGACCATTTCCCATGCGAATCTCGACTACATGTTTGCACTACTTCCATAGCATGTAATAAGAACAACACTTTGCTTTCAATTCTGTAATCCAACCATACACAAGATGCTGTTCGATACAATGGGAATGAATGGAGCATGACTTTGAAATTTTACACCAGACATTTTTGAGTAACATTTCACAGCAGCTTGTTGCAAAGGAGTAAGAAGTTTAATAAATGGCAAGGAGGATCCAAACGAATTAATCCACATTCTTGGCACAGATACCTGAGGGTTACTCTTGTGTAGTCGTTGTCTCGGGAGGTTTGTAACTGTATGCTTTGGCTCAACTTTCAGGTGTACCCAAAAGGAAATTTAAATTCTGCTAGTCTCATACAGATGTGAACCTCCTTTAAAGTGGTGTTCACGCTCCAGTTTGTTCATGTCACCACATGGAATTTGTTTCCTGTTTCAACGATGGAATCCTAGAAATTTCAGCACTGAATTGGGTTGTTCGATCCATTGTACCTATGATACATGAGCTCCCTGCTGGTGATATCTACTCTAATCTTATTTCTCTGCTCGTTCCCTGTGCTGTTTACATTTTTAATCTTCAAGTTTCAAACTAATTCCCAAATGTGATTGACTTGACTTCAATTGACCCTGATTTTTATATTTCCCACCTTCCAATAGCCTTTTATGTAAAAATTGAAGTGTTAACACAGTTTTAATCTATTTGTTTCAATCTGACAAATAAACTTTATTTTGATCTTGGCTATTTTAGTTGTGATGTTAACTAAGAAAGGCTTCAGGCAACACTTCAAGAGCACATTTGATATTCTGGTAACAGGAGCGTGATGCTTGCCACTTGCCTGGGGTCAGATTAGTCATTGACTTCCTGTCACCTTTGTGGTCAGCTCATTTCCTCAACAGCTGGTTAAAATAAACTATGGGGAGCAGAGTCTGAGGAGCACATTGGGTTAGACTACCTTCCCTTCACCTGTGAGATCTGGGTTCAACTCCAGGCTAAATTGATGGAAAGAAAGGGTTTTTATGATGTGAAATGAGGCAGTTTCAGCCCAATTCTAATGGCATAAATTGACAATCTCACACTTCACTCTAGATATAACCTACATTAATCTAGGTCCAATTAATTCTGCCACTGAGTTCCAATTTGCACTTGGGTTAATTGAAAATTCCTTTTTTGCACCAGTTTAATTTGCGAAATTCAAAGGTAACGAATTTGAAATTTCAAGTCAGAAAAGGCTGAAAAAAATCGAGCGATGAAAATGATTGGTGGGACATGACACGGCTGTCTGTTTTGCTCACTGATGTTTTTCTTGCATTTTGCTAACTTGAGATTTTGCAGGTTATGAATTTCGCAAACTGGGAAGTTGCAATTAACTCAATGAATCCCATTTGAGCTTATTACAAATTGGATTCAACTGAATGCCAAAGCAGAAATGGTCTTCTTTTCCCAGGCCTTGTAGCCTTCATCTAGCCTGTATCCAAATCCAGAAACAAAATACAAATTGAACAAATCTATCAAAAGCAGATTGGTAATCTGTCAGACATCTCCTTGTCCAGCTTCATCGGTGCTAGAAAAGTGCTTGTTGCTTGACAAGTAGAACCTTCTCTGAAAATGCAAGTTTATTTATACTCAACAAAATACAACATTTGATCTTAACTAGGGAAACTGTTGCTAAAAAGGCATAAATGTTCCTAATTGTACAGAGTAGATAATGATGTACTATGAAACTAGGACACCAAAGATAATATTACTCTAGGTCTCTCTCAGCTTCCCCTTGATACTATTGTGTTGATACTATTGTGTACAGTGTATTATTGTGTACCAGTGCACAAATTGAGATATAACATTATTACACTTGGCACCCGTTCATCTGTTTAGCCTTCAGGCTAAGTTGGTTGTTGACTCATCTTCTCTAGGCAACAGACACCGAGAACCATAAGAATAAAGTAATCTCCTGGACAAATTATCAGGACAGCTCAATTAAAATGAACCTCTCAAAGTCTAGTGACAAACCCATGATTTACCATCCAAGCCTGGGCCGAGTCAGCTTGCTTTATCTCTACAGGAAGAGTTGAGATGAACTGCACAGACTGTTCCCTAGGGCATGTTGTGCAGAGCGGCTGTTTTCTATTTAATAATAATGCAAACAGAAATTACCCTCCGAAATATTTTGTGTTTCTTATTTTACATTATTTGCAAGATTCTTGACAAGTCTTCTTTGAGTATATATATATAGATAGTATATTTCATATGTCTCTGCTGCCATTTAGTAGGATAGAATGGTAAAGGAACATTCTTACAATAAAACACATTGTGTTCAGCTTCTTTTGTATAAGTAGCATGAAAACCAATGATTTTTAGGACATTTCATTTTGGCTAAAAGTTTCTGGGACCTTGAGTCCTATCGAGCCTATTTCAGTTTACAATAATTAGATTTTTTTTGCGTTTAAATCCTCTTAGATTTGTTTTGAACGTTCTTTTACATTTACATTGTTCATTCTAACTTTTTACCCTCCCCAAAGAAGCCTGGTTAAAAAGGAAGCTTCATTGTACAGACGTGAAGCACATTTTGTGCAATTTGCAGACAATGAAGCCCTTTCATTCAACTAATCACTAAAGACGTAAAAGGAACAATGGCCCTGCAAAGCAGCCCTTAAGTAGATGAAAACATCCATAAAGTATTACTTTAAATTAGAAAACCGTCTGCTGCCCTTTGCTCTGAGAGCTTATTTCACTTGAGGATTGTAAACCTCTCGGATGGAAATGGCTAATGTATCTCCATCTGAAATAAGTAAAGCTGCTACCAGGAGTATTTCTCCCTTTCTTACTGCATTGCTGCCTGTCAGGTGGCCAGGCCAGTTTGGTCCAGCTTTATGATGGAGTGCTTTCCAGTCTCTTTGTGTTTTTACTACATTTGTAGAGCTGTCTTACTATGTGGGGAAGGGTTGGCATGAAGGAAAACGTGGGAATATACTTACGCCTGCACTCAAGAAACATTTATTTTGCTGGCCAACCAAAGAGGTTGGGCGCCACTGGTCTAGGCTGTCACCCCACTGCAGTTCTGTGGGGCTATTGCATTGTTGAAGGTGAGGTGTTAAACTGAGGGGTTAAGGAGGAAGTTACAAGTGGATGTTAAACTGAGGTGCCTGTTAGGGTGGAAGTTAAAAATCTCATGACACTGTTTGAAGTTTCAAGTTTTAAGTAGGGACTTTCTTCCAGTGTCCCAGCCACCAATCCTTCAGATAAAATTGATCATTCATTACATGGCTGTTTGTTGGACATTGCTGTGTGTAAATTGGTGATCACTTTTATAATAATAATAATAATCCTTCCATTTGATATAGCACTTTATCATGTCTTTGAAACATCTCAAAGCACTTCACAGAATATACTGTAAAGTGTAGTAACTGTATATTTTGTGGGGGAAACGCAGTAGCCAATTGCACACAGCAGTGTCCCACAAATAGTCGAGGATTGAATGACTAAATTATTATTATTATTTTTCTTGAAGGGATTATTATCTCTGGAAAAGCGATCCGCCAAATGACTAACAACCGTTTCCTACTTACTGCTAGGTAAACAGGCGTGTGGAGTAAGGAAACTTGCCCACAGTTTCACCCTGCCCGGGAATCAAACCCAGCTCCTTTTGCTTGTTAGGCGAGTGCACTAACCACTAAGCTACAGGACTCCACAAAATACACAGTCAATCCACATAGCATTAAATCCTGTGAAGTGCTTTGAGATGTTTCAATGTCTTGATTAGATGTTCTATCAAATGCAAGGAATAATATTATTATAGATTGAAGTTAGGATTGGGACTAAAGCACAGGTTTAATGTGCCAACTACAAGCTTTCTGGTACAAATGTACAGTGCAAACCCTTTCTTTAAGATTGTGTCTGCAAACGTGAAGTGATCTCTTGATCTAAAATTGTCGATCTTTAAATCTCTGTGTGCCAACTTGTGATGTGACATACACCTTGGTTCAATGCCTAACACCACTTAACATCTGAGCGTTTGTCAATTGAAATTTGGTTGATGCGCTTACTTTCATTGGTTTTGTTTATTGTCAGAATATAATAACCAAGTGTGGAATGAGCACAGTGAAAAACCCAGTGTGGAACATGAAGAATACATTCACTCTTAACAGTATTTTAGGTATTGATATAAAAGATATTATAAGACGAATATAAGAAGTCTGAGCAATTCTTTATACATATATATAACTATACACTGTGAAGCACTTTGAGATGTCTAGAAGACGTGAAAAGCGGTATGTCAAATGCAAGGATTCTTATTATACTGTACAGCAATAACACTGTGCATTGATTATAGAGGCCTCATTAACCAAGAAATAATATAAAACGTCTCTTGTGCAATCATGATTCATCCTAAAGAAAGTTATTTGTCGAGGTATTTACTCTATTTATATGTGTAAAATTTAACATTGATGATTTTTCTTTTCTCCAGATGTAAACATGGACCAAGACACAAATGCTGTAAACATTATGAAGATAACTGCATATCTTACTGCATTAAAGTGAGTTGTTGACTTTTAGTCTTCTCATAACAAAAAAAATGCAGTACTTTATTTAGCATGTGGAAAGTTCCTGAGCAATTGTGTATCCGATCACAAAATTGTTCCTGATGCATTTATTGAAAATTCTGAAGGACTGAAATGAGGAACACTGCGAGAGCAGTGATTTGGTCTGGGGGTAGAATACAATGGAATTCTGGGCTATAATCCAAGTTTTTGTTCCATGAGATAATTCAGTCATTTTGTTACTGATTTCCTTTTTTATCCCTTCCTCCACTGTCTCCAATCACTCTTTGGTAATTTGCCCAAATGACCATCATTCATGTATGAGTACTGTCAGCAAATGTTGGCAGACTGTTCAACTGTGGACTCATCACTACCTCCACCGGGGTAGGTTATTTTCTCTGACCCTGGCCTCTTTAGTCTGCACACATGCAAGAGAGCAGGGCACCAACTTCTGCCAGTGCTCCAACTCCAATATGAGTTCCCTTTTCCTCTCACTTTCCCTACCTACGAATACTTCATGATAGCGCCTTTCCCGACGTGAAAGGCGCTATACAAATGGAATTTTTGGTTGTTGTTGTTTGATTCCCTGCAGGGCAAAACGTTGGGCAAGCTTCCTTACTAAACAAGCAAACTTCCTCAGGGTCACAGTCTTAAAATTAAGGGTCAGCCTTTTAGAACAGAGTTGAGGAAACATTTCTTCACTCAGAGGGTAGTGAATTTATGGAATTCATTACCCCGTGAACGCTGTAGATGCTCAGTCCTTGAACATTTTCAAGGCTGAGACTGATAGATTTTTACAAAAATAGAGGGATTAGGGATATGGGGATAGGGCAGGTAATTAGAGTTAGGTCAGAAGATCAGCCATGATCTTATCGAATGGCGGGGCAGGCTCGAGGGACCGAATGGCCTACTCCTGCTCCTAATTCTTATGTTCTTATTTCCATCCTTGGCTTTTCCAGGGATAATAATTCCTTCAAAAAAAATAAGAATAAATTGGTCACTTCAATCTACGGCTGTTTGTGTAACACTGTGGTGTGCAATTGGCTGCTACGTTTCACCCACAAAATATACAGTCAATTCACTTTAGAGTATATTCTGTGAAGCGCTTTAAGACATCTCAAAGACGTGATAAGGTGCTATAACAAATGCAAGGATTATTCTTATTATATAGAACATCTCTAAAGTGCAGTGACTGAATTGGGCGCTCAGCTGTGTAGCCGATCATGGACATTTGCTGAACAGATTGCTATTTAGTTACATTTTACTGATTTTAACTTAGCAATGCATTCCATATTTACCACGTCCCATGTACCCAGATTTGTGGGACTCCTGGAGTGGAGTATGTGAAGTCAGATTCGTGGCATTGGACTTCGGGCTCAACTGGTTAGGACACGATCTTTTTACAAAACAAAATCTCAATGTGGCTGGTGTCTAACTAACTGGCAATCAAACAGAGCCAGAATTTCAATGCCAGCTTCACAGACATCGATTAAGATTGGTGTTGGGTGGGGAAAGGGATTTGTGCTCTTCTCCAATATATTCAGTATGCTAAATATCAAATGTATCACAAGTTGACCCCATTTTCTTTGTGCCTTCTTTCTAAGTACTTTGTACAAGCACAAAACACAAGCAAAAGTAGCACACAAACACAAATAAAAACAGACTTTCCGATGAGAGACCATGCTGATTCAGTACTCTGCTTTATTAGAGTGTACACTATAATTTACATACCTTTGCATTTCTTTCAGATAGTATGCTGTCAAGGATTTTATTTATGTTTGACAGCAACACCTTTCAGAGCAGGGTATTGTACAAGTTCTTCACATGTGCATCTATGCTTGTGGGACATTGCTGTGTGCAAATTGGCTGCTGCATTTGCCTACAAATACAGTCTTATACACAGTCATTACACTTCACAATAAAATATTGTGAAGCAATTTGAGATATTTTGATTACATGATAAGGTGCTATGCCAAATGCAAGGATTATTTTTACAGTTCCTCTTGTATTTTTCCTATGAGTTTGTGTTGTCTGAGAATTTACCTTATCCCTGTGCAATTTATTCCTTTTAGTAATCCAGGTTTTAAGAGAATGGGAGTACAGAAATAAAATGTATCTCTATAGTCTCTCTTTACATTTACATTACATTTTGCTCAGCTTAGTTTGTTTAAAAAATAACATTGAATTACTTTCACATTACAAATCGAGTCTGACATGAATGGACATAGGAAAAAAAGGGTTTTCTTTTGGATGCAGTGAATTATTAATCAAGTTAAATTGGAGTTTTGGGATAGATCCAGAAGTTTAGTGAGGCTAAAACTGTATGACCGAAGAGAAACAATGAGAGGTATTCATGAGTAATGTATACTAGTTGTACCTTGTGTATTCTCTGGAGAAGATATAACCCAGGAGATCTGTGATACCAGGGGATTCACACCAATTGATCGGGTGTTGAGGAAAGTTAATTTAACACAATATTTCATATTGCTTTCAAATGAAATGGTTCAGGTGGGAAGAAGTTTGTCTATTTGATAGCTCTTGAAAATAGTTGATCTGACAACTGGACAAATGTCAACAGAACCTAGAGGGATTAATGCTGGCATAGTCTCTCTAAGTCTTACCTTAAAACCTTCCTCTTTGACCATGGCTACGCTCCCCTTCCCCTCTCCCCTGCTCAGTATCTAACCCAACCTTATAATGATGTCATCCTACATGATGAGGGCTATATCAAAGTAAATTGTTGTTATTGTAACCAGTCTGACTAGTTGTTAGTGGATTTTGCTTCTATTTCTACTTGTTGTAAAGCATTCCATATTCTAAACCTTCTGTACAAACGTGTTTCTTTTCTTCAGTGACGATCTGGAGTTTAGCCACCTTGTTACTGACTTTACCAACACGATCTGACTCTTTGAGTGTAGCTGTGCTGATATCTATGCTTCCTTCTAGATGGAGTTTTATTGGTTAAATATTTGCAGTAATCCACTCAGATGTTAGGATGTTCAAGCTTATGGATAATTGAGACAGTCAGAAGTTTTAAAATCTTGGCATATTTTGTTATATAACGTAACTGATGCTCAAGTGATGATTAAAAACATTAATCTTCTACTTGAGATGTCTTTTATGAATGGCTCACACTTTAGTTTTGCAGTTTATGATGTTATCTGAACTGGTTAAAGCACAAGTTAATGAATACTTAAGTAATCTTACAAAATGAGATGCTTTGATTGAAAAGTTCAAATACCTCCCAGAAGGAGTCCATTTAAGATTTTAAAAGGTATTTTATCATTTAAGTGTATGGTTGCAATAGTTGGCCCTGATGGCAACCTCTCATTTGATGTTCTGCTTCCTTGTACTCTTATTGTTCTCAATTTGATTACTTTCTGTAATTTGCTTTTTTTATAATAGAAATTCAAACCAGAAATTAGAGTGTGTTGCACGTTGCTCCATTCCTAAAGATTTCTTTTGAAACATTTTCCAGGGTTTTATAAGGATGTTCAGTGTTGGCTATCTTATTCAATGCTGCCTTCGTATCCCATCAGCCCTTAGACATCTATTTACAAAGCCATCCCGGCTGCTGTCTGCTTTGTACAATAAAGAAAACTTTCAACTTGGAGCATTTCTGGGATCCTTTGTCAGTATTTACAAGGTAATAAAATCTGCAAAGCATTTATTATTTTTTTATACATTAAGGGATTAAGAAGTTAAATTTGTGTGCAAAATAAAAACTTTATTATTTTGACTTTGTTTCAATCATTGAAGAGCATCAAATGCTTTGACACTCTGCACTTTGCCCAGAGTAAACTCTCATCCACATTACTGTTTAATATAAATATATATTTTGTTTTATTTGTGTTTAATAAATACTGTTGGGAGAAATACCTTCATATAATTATTCCCATAAACCTATCCATTTACTTATCATGGAAATTGCATGGTCTGTTATGAAGCCAGAGCTAGAAATGGTTGACTCTAGCAGCTATATAGCAGTTTTTCTACGAGTTACAGTTCAGTTCTGTTTCTTTGACTTGTGAAAAAGCCTTCGTAGCTACCATTTACTCTGGATTTCTTAAAGGCTCTATCTAGTCGCATTCAATTGCTTCAACTGTTGTCTTTGGATTCCATTCTTATTTTTAATAAGGCAGTTATTAACTCTTAGGCAAGAAGTTGTGTGCACAGTTTATTAGATTGTGTACTTTATGAGTAAACTAAAACATCTGCAATAATGGGTATGCAGTTAGACCATGTCTGGAAGGAAGCTGAAACGAAGGTTATGTTGCTCATTCTTTTTAGGGAGAAATGAGAAATGAAACATCAAGTTGACTGGCCATTCTCACACAAAAAAAGTTTGAGATGGAAGTATAGGGATAGGTTGGGTTGTTTGGCTATTTACAATGCTGGGATGCATTTGCGCAAAGATGAGTAGGAGGTCTGGCTGGACGAATTCTGTAGAGAAGAATGAATGGAGTTTGCTGATTATTGTGAAAGATTTCTAAAAAAAATGAATTACTTAATAGATCAATTCTAAGTAGACTAGGCTACAAAATTAGACTTATAACAAGTAGAAATATTTAAGTTGGAAGGTAAAAGAAGAGGAAAGCTATTATTAAGTATGATGGGGGTCTTTGGGAAGTTAGCAGAATAAATAATCGGGAATTATTGAATCAATAAAAGTGTTTTTATAGAAATGGAAATAGTAGCACAAAATGTATAGGACCCACTAACAATTGTGGAACATATGAAGGAATTGCTCTTTGATTTGAGTTGTAATAATGCAACACATAACCAATCCAATACATTGACCTAAGAATATAAACATTGTATTTTTTACAAAACAAATTGATTTATTTAGACCCCTTAATGCATTGCTCCCTCTGCTTGGAGTGAATTGATATAACTTCTAGCCATAGAGCAATGTGGAACAGAAAGCAAGATTTATATTCACCACTCCTCAGTACATTGCTCAGAAGCTGTTGATACTCTAAGACCTGATTTCAGAGGTTCTGCACATACATTTTTAATGTTACTTTGGTTCAAATGTATTAGACAAAGAAAGATAGCCTTCCATGTCTTAAGAAGTATTTAAGCACTGTGATGGATTTTTATTCTTGTTAACCATAAATATTGTTAAAGAAATAGTTTTAACAAGCTGTTTCATTAATAAGCAAAGTTTAATACTAATAAAGTGCTTTTGTAGCTTGTGAAAGACCAGGCAATATGATACAGCAATTCTCTATACTAAACACACATACACCACCTGATTCTTATGTTTTTGTTTCTGTCAAGGGCACAAGTTGCTTCCTACGATGGGTACGAAACTTGGACGATGAACTTCATGCACTGATTGCTGGTGAGAATAATCATGTTTTTTCAGCTCTCTTATGAACATGTCTGCAAGGCGATGATTTATAAAATGACGCTGATTAATACAAATAATAATAAAAAATATCCAGTGCCTTTTAATTTTGAAAACAAACAATATAATTTGGAACTCCTGTCATTTCCGCATGACTGTTAACAATTCTCCTAATACTTTAAAAGGCGTACAGTACAGCCTCGGTGCAACATGGTAGTTGGGAAGTCCACAAAATAAAAGTGTGCTATGAATGGAGCACATTATGTCACATGTGCTCTTGCTCACTTCTGGATTACAAGAATTATTATTGTTATTATTACTGCTGATGTTGAGGAACCCAATTGCACCTATATACACTTGTCAGCAAGTTCCTAAATTATAACTGAACCCACAGAAAACTGAAATGCATTATTATTATTCCTAACAACATCTGGTATCGTGCAGCATGCAGCAGCCAATTTTGCCTACAGCAATGTCCCATAAACACACATGAAGTGAATGACAAATTTTATTTGGGGATTGTTTGCCAGGACACTAGAATAAACTACCTTCTCTTTTCGCATTAGTGCCATGGCACAGATAGGCAGGACATCAGTAAGAGAGTCTATGACATAATGTGCTCTGCATTTAGCATAATTTTATATTATGGACTCCCAACTATTGTGTTGCAATCAGGCTGCACTCCCGATGTGTTGCACTTTTCACGTTTGGACTACATAAAGAATTGTTAGCAGTTGGGATAGTCACGTGGAAAAAATGGAGCTATTCTGCAAGAGTTCCAAATAGTTGTTATTTTCAAAATGAAATTTTCAAAATGAAAATGGGCAATTGTGATTACGTGAGTTGGATGTAGGTCTTGAACGCACAACCTTCTGACTCCAAAGCAAGAGAGCTACGAACTGAGCCAGACTGATACCTAAATGATGCTGCACAAAGCGTATTTCTTTTGTCATTTAAAAGAAAAGAACCCTCTCTCTTGAACCCTATAATAATCCATATATTTAATATAGAACCCTTTACGTCAAAAGAAGGTCTCAAAACGCTTCACAGGATGTACTATGAAGTGTAATGACCATCGGGCAAATGTAGTCAATTTGAGCACAACAGTGTCCCACAAATAGCCATGAGGTGAAATATAGCATGTAGACTTCAAGGCAAAATTAGCGTCAAATGATTTCTGCATCCAGTTTAAGACACAACAAAGCTCTGCTGGTAACTTTGAAAATAAATATTTTTCATAGTTTGGGCTACTGCATTGTGTTAACAAACAGATATTTGTTTACAACAAGAACAAGATTAGATTTGTATGGCGTCTTTCATGTCTGGAGGACGTCCCAAGGCGCTGTTTAAGCACCTTATTAAAGAACCACCTCATAGGTCTTCATCTGATCTCTCCTTTATGATGTGATATTTTGATAAACAAAGGAGCTAAACAAAGAGCCCTAGGTTTATATTCCTAGTACTCTCAATAAAATGTATTAGTCATTCTTCTTCCAATTCTTCCCACAGGTTTTTTGGCAGGAATCTCCATGATGTTTTACAAAAGCACAGCAATCTCCATGTACCTGGCTTCCAAACTTGTGGAGGTAAAAGAATACTCTTTGGAATTATTTTTGCATTTTAATTTTCAATTGGTGATTTTAACTTCACATTATAGAACCAACTGCATTTCTTTGGTTAAATACAGATAATATTGAAATTACATTCTTTCTATCACTGACAACAAGGATTCTCAGCTCCCGATAATCCTGCAAGCCAAAGTCCTAACAGGTAGAGTAGTCTTAGCTGGACAAGTGGTTGGAAGCTTGCTGGACAGTGATCTCAATAACAAGCTGTGCAATTTTAGCTGGTTAAGCTCCAGCAGTATCACAACTCACACTCTGGAGACATAAAACTCTTGCTAATCAGTGCCTGATAATCCAGAATGCAGTGAGCAGGATGCATCCCAAGAGAGGCACACTTCATTCCAGAAACAGGGAAATTTCCATGTGTAGATGACACACAAATGCAAAACTCTCAGTATGGTTTGGCTAGTTTCTCTTAAGCAAGGTAATAGGTTTCCTAATTTTTCTGTTGCCAGGCTAACCAAAAATAAAATCCCTTCCTATCAGCATTCTGAGTTTGCATTTGCAAAGACAGTCATTCCTTTGCAGATGTGAGCTCTTGCAAGATTATTTCCTGCAATTTCATTCTGTTCTGTTTTGCCTTGTGAGCTGCCAAAGCTGCAGTTAGACTGTCAAATAAAAATGCATCAGTCCTGAAGAAATATTAAATGTGATCATATAAAGCAGGGTGGTCCAACAGGTGGCCCACGGACTGCATTCGGCCCGGCGGGTGATTTTATGCGGCCCAAGACCATTTTCAACATTCCAACATCCGCTTCTTCCTTCCCTGGCGAACGTCTTCCTACGGCAGCGGCAGGAGCCGGCGGTTGTGAGAAAGCTCGGAGAGTGGGAATAATGCTGCCCCTTACTGCAGTCTGTACCCGAGCTGAGGGGAAAGCAAGTCTGTCGCCATATCCACTGGCCCTTAGCAACCAGTGGCTCCTGCTGCTGTACATAGTGAACCATACGGCTGATTGGGAGAGAGGGGAGATTGAGAGGGGGTGGGGGAGAGAGATGGAGATTGTGTGAGGGAAGAGAGTGTGTGAGAGACAAGTGAGAAAAGGGGGAGTGAGATAGAGACTAAGAGAAGGGGAGAAAGAGTCATTGAGAGAAGGGGAGAGGGAGTGAGGGGGAGAGAGTTATTAAGAGCAGGGAGAGAGAATGTGAGGGTGGAGAGGGTGTGAGAGGGGAAGTAAGAGTAATTGAGAGAGTGAGGGAGCGGGGGTAGAGAGAGTGACTGAGAGAAAAGAAAGGAGGAGTGATTCAGAGAGAATGTGAGAGGGGATAGAGAGTATGTGGGAGAGAGAATTGAGAGAGATAGAGTTTGTAAGAGAGGAGAGGGAGGTGAGAGCGATTGAGTGAGAGAGAGAAATAAAAAGAGTAAAAGAGCAGAGAGAGAAGTGAGGGCAGTGTTTAGTGGTTCACTGTCAGGACAGACTATAGGAATCTCCCTTGGCCGCCACGGGAGGGACCGAGGATGGACACCAAGTGACATGCCTCACAGATTCCCAACAGAAAGCTCCCTCTATTCCCAGTAAAAAAAAATTCTCCACGTACTTCATTGCCCCACCTACCACTCCGAGCTCCTAACCTGGCCGTTCCCTTTGCCCAGAAAACACCAGCCCCCCACCCCATCTGCCTCACCATCACTATTTTGCCCCTGCTCTCTGGAGTTCCATTCCTGGAGTCCCTCTGACTCGCTGCCTCTCTCCTCCTTCAAAGCATGTCAAGACCTAACACACAAGAATTCTACATCGCTGTCATGTGTTTTCAGTTTAGTTGTGGTTTTAATACTGTAACAATGTTTACATATGTAAAGAGAAAATTACTGACAATAGTTGAAGGTTACAGTATCTTTCCACTTCCCATGGCTATAAATTTTGTAAAGAATTTCTCCTGCTGAGATTTCTGCAAATACAGTGCAGCCCCACAATAATGCGCTTCTTTATAGCACTGATTCGGTTATAATGCACTTAAAGTTTGGACCCCATTCACTGCCCATGCACAGTGCACAGCAAGTGATGTTGCAACAGTCTTATCACCTGGAAGTCAGACTGTTTTTCTTGGAGCAAAACCAGAAATTGCTGGGAACACTCAGCAGGTCAGGCAGCATCTATGGAGAAAGAAAATTGAGTTAACGTTTCGGGTCCACGACCCTTTGTCAGAACTGGGGCCATGTTGGGAGGGAAAGGGTTAGTCCCTCAATATCCCTGAATCAATATTTTGCATTTCCTTCTCAGTTTTAGTCCTTAAAAACCTCTCCCTCCCAACATGGCCCCAGTTCTGACGAAGGGTCATTGACCTAAAACGTTGACTGACTTTCCTTTCTCCATTGATGCTGCCTGACCTGCTGAGTGTTCCCAGTGACTTCTGTTATTGTTTCAGATTTCCAGCATCTGCTGTATTTCGCGTTTTGTTTTTTTGGGGTGCGAATTCTCATTGAAAGTGAGCGTTGCATGCACTCACAATGATTTTTTTTTATTGTGGCATTGTTACAGTGTAGATTAAGAATATATGCATCCCAAGCTCCACTTTCTCACAATGCTTCATTGTAGTTCTGTTCCTTGTTTTCTGATAATTATTTAGGTGTTAGCCTGGTTTATTTGATGGAACGCATATCCCTGAATCAATCAAAGGTTGTGGATTCAAGCCCCACATTGAGACTTTGTGCTCATTAAGTATAGGCTGACACTCCAATGTAGTGCTGGGTGTGCTGCATTGTCAGAGGTGCCATTCTTCGGATAAGACATTCAACCGAGGTTCCGTCTGCCTGTCCAAGTGAACCTTGATGATCCCATGAACTATTCGAAAAAGGGAGTTTCTTTCAGGACCCTGGCTAACAATCCCTTAGATAAGCTTGGCCATTCACTTCATGGCTTTTTGTGGGACATTGCTGTGTGCAAATTGGTTGTCATGTTCAGCCACAAAATACACACAGTCACTTTACAATATATCCTGTAAAGCGCTTTTTGATGTCTTGTTGACATGAAAAGGCTGCATTCTACAAAATACACAGTTGCTGGATAACCTCATTTGAGAAGTCCTCCTGACACGAAATATATCCTGACACTATATCAAATCTAATATTATTTATTTTAATTGTTGTAATCCATTTGATGATGGTCATTCAGATCAACTGATTTTCAGTGAATGAACAATTTCATCTACAACCTAAAAAGGATATTGAATCTTTAATCCTGAAAGAAATGCTGCTGAAGACATAAAAAAACTTGCCAATACAGGGTCAAATTTTACATCTTGTTCCTTTTTGTTCTTCAAATTAGCTCAAATGTTGCAAAACAAGTTGTAAGTCAAAACTTCCGTATACTGTATATCAATATCCATACAAAGAACAATCTGCATTTATAGATTTTGATTGTATCATTCAGTGTGATCTAACATTGCTTTTAATACCTCTTGAATAGTGAAACTTGGAGTTTATTATGTGAATGAGGAAGATTAGGTAACTCATAAATCATAGAAAAGTATTTAGATTGTATATTAAACAGTTACTGAATAATGTGTTTACTGGCTTTCATACTCATGGACAATGTGATATTCTTATTGTTATTGTGAAAGGCAATGTGACTTTGCATTTGAGTGTAGTAATGGCAAAACCTCTGTATTAATTGTGTTCATAAATGTGAACTGCCATAACCAATCACAAATATTCCCCAAACCCTGGAGATTGCTTTTCTGATATTATTACTGTTAAAACGACCCAATAATGAGCTTTAACAGACCTTGGAGAAACGAGAAGCTCCATGTGATTCACACCTATCATCTGATGTGATCGAGATTAAAAATTGAGGTTAATTTGCTTCCGTAATTAATTTGTGTTCATCTTTGCCGGCAGACGATGTATTTCAAAGGCATTGAAGCAGGAAAATGTCCATATTTTCCTCATGCAGATACCCTCATCTATGCGGTTTCCACAGCCATATGTTTTCAAGCAGTAAGTATCTGTCTGATGTGAAAGATTGCTATTTAGCTGAATTTCATCAATGCATTTTTATGTTTCAGAAGAGCTGTGCTACTAAACTAATTATCTCTGGAAAGATGATGACATTACAAAATGCTTATGCATTTACAGTTGAAGTGATTTATCCATGTTGAGGTCTTCTCTGTGCAACTGCTGCGTAAACATGCATTGTATAATTGTGTTTTTCTCAATTTGGTCCATTTTAATGAAATTAATTGAAGTGTTCTTTCAGCCCTGGAACTTGGATTCAAATCCACCCTGATTAATGGGAAGAAACTCACTTTATCTGTTCTTTTGGCTGCAAAGGATATGAAATAAAATTAAATCCTGTAGTGTCAACCAAGTTCTTATGGATAACGTAAAACTTGCATAAATCTTGCTCAGGTAATTATCAATTTGGCATTAATCTAACAGCCTCACTCAACATAGATTTAAGGATTGCTGGTGTAGGAATTAGAAGCATTCATAATGGTCCATATAGTATTGTAATACTACAGCATTCGGAGGTTCTCTCATGAGGTACTGCAGAGAATTCTTTGTGCTGCTGATCCCTTTCTGGACCGTGGATGACATGAGGCACGTTAACCAATTCTTGGGGCACTCTGAAATTATGGATATGGTGAGTTTCAAGTTCAGGACTCTGTGTTAGTTCCTTGACACAACGGAAATTTACTGACAGATGTTTGTATGTCGGCTGGGCACCAGTATAGAGATAGCAATTTGAAATTCAGCAGGAACTGAATATTGACTCACTTTAACATTAAATATGTTAAATATTTCCTGGGATTATTTGTAAATAAAAGGGAGTTTCTCCCAGTATGATAGCTCGCAATCCCTGAGCTAAATTGATCAGTCACTTGACTGTAGGATATGGCTGCCATGTTTTCCTGCAAATACAGTCTCAACAGCTATTACCTCTGTAGTGCTTTGGGACATTTTGACATTATGTGCACTGTATCAAATACTACGTTTAATTTATGACTACAAACCAAGATTGATGGAACTTCAGCAAGTTGATCAGCATCTGACTGTGAAAGGCAGTCTAACATTTCAAGCGTGACATCAGAACTCCATAACTTCATTGGACCATTAGTAATTGACCTACTTTGAAATTTCCAGCATTTTCACTTTGTAATTCGGATTTCCAATGTACATTTTCTTCCCTTTTATTGCTGCGTTGTTGCTCAACTGGGCTTGATGTGCCTAGCAGACACACACTGAAAAAATAGCCCAAACTAACAGTTACATCTTTGTTTATCTATTATAATCCTGATCTTCAAAATATTTTTCTAGCTCAATGTACACAGATACCCTTCAGCCCTCCTTTTGTGCAATACTTAGAAGTTGATCTGCTTTATTTTCCACTGGTGTACTTTTACCTATTGGCTTTGCAGAACTACTACTTGTGCAAATAGTAACCATTGCCAGAAAGTTTTTTAGCTCAGAAAAAGAGGGCTCAAGTTTGCTGTTTGCTGATTTTGCTTATGCTAAACAAGGGCTTTACTTTTGTAAAGAGGGCTATAAGACAAGTAATTGGAGAAATTCACAATCTTGCATACCAACTATCCCTCAACTGTATATACAGCTATTTTTTTCAATTGCCTTTGACTGCAAAGACTGGTGTACTTTTATGACCCACTCAACAAATTCACCTTGAAGGACAGCAGCTGGCTGCTAAATACAGTAAGGACAGCAGCTGTTTTCTCAGTACTGCTTAAAATGAAAGTCTCGGGAGTTAAAACCAAGTGATCGTCTATCACTATGATAATAAATCAGGCTGTATAATCTAATAGGAAGTCTTCACACAGTAGATCCCAGTTTCTACAAAATAATCTCTGTGCCAAAACCACCAGCAAATCAAATTAGATTCCAACAGCCTTAGTAAAGCAAGAAGATGCCAAGGTTTTGATTTAAAATATTAGTTGTGCCAAGTTTCTCAATTATGTGACTGCTGTGGATGTATTTGTTCATAGTATAAGAATTTAGTTTGGAAAGTTAGTGAAAGTGCATGATCTTATAGCAATTTTATTTTGTTGGTTATTAAATCTGAGGGATTTTTGTTCAATTTATTCAATTTATATGTGGAGGGAATGGGTTTATAGTAACTAAATAGAGCAGCTTTCTGTTCTAGTTGGCTAACCTGGTTAACATTATGATGTTATAATGTTAACCAGTTCTCCTGGCTGGGTAATGCGGTCACACGACCATAGAAGGGAAGTCTGTGTGTGTGTGTGTGTGTGTGTGTCTGAAGGGGGTGTGTGCCTTTGATGTTTGCAATGAAAAATGTAAACTTGGGTGACTCTTAGACTGGAAGGCTCAACAATAGAATTATTCATTTAAAATTATTCCAGAAATAATCTGTTTGCAAAATGGGTTCTGGGTGTAATGCACTCTGTGCTTGTTATAAACTGAGTACCTATAAACATTTTCAACCTGTTTGAGAGTGTTATTACTACCTTGTAACAATTTCCCAGACATTGTTTTTTGGGATTAATTAAATATAGAAGGAAGTTTAACTAAAAATGTTAAGAACAGAGATTATTTTATGACATCCCTGCCCATTTACGTAAAACAATGTTATACCTTTTTATTGTATGAGAAAAGTGAATTTCAAACGATGAATTCTATCAAAATGATTGTAATGGCCAGAAGTATATTAACCTTCACACTATCAGAGTTTCAAAATGTATAAAACAATGAGTGTTCTTCGACTGCAAACTGTGATATTTCTGTTCTCATTTTACTGGCTGTTGGTTTGCTATGGGACCCTTGCAATCTGTAAAGTCCTCACACCATCTTTCATGCAATGAAAATGTCAAGATGCCACTATAGTGCTCCCTACTGGAAGTGGGCTGTGAGAGACTTATTCAGCAGTCTTAATACTGTTGTTATAGCGGATTATTTCTAGTCTCTCAAGCATATCAGCTTTTTTTAAATAATAGGTTTTTCTTCAGTAAACATTCTGTGTGTTCTTCTTTTTGATGCATCATATACCGCTGACCTGTGGAACACAAACTACAGTACATTGTACTCTATTTTAAATACTTTTTATAAAAGAACAAAAGAATATCTGTTATGGAAAACCTTATTGCTTTGAAGGTGACAAAAATAATCAGTGGGGGTGAAAGGCCAATTGAATGGCATAACTGCAGGTATAAGCATTTTGTGACATAATCTCTCTTTTCTCTGGGGAACCCACTATAAGTTGGTAACATGTGAGTCCTCATTTCCAACTCAAGATCTGAATAGAGTTAATAGTTTTGTGAGATGGCATAATTTACAGAGGATTCCCTGTAGAGAACTCAGTTTGCATTGTGGGTTACAACGTTTGACAACTTTTTCAACCCCATGATGTGTTGGGTGGACTGGTCGACAAGTATGTAATTGCGTGGAATGGCAGAATGTAAGTTAGTTTCCTCCAGCAATTCAGCATGTAGTGAGCTCCAATTTCCACGTACTCTTCGAGGGAGACGTAGAGCATAAACCAGAACCAGAACTGTAATGTCAAAAGTCAACCTCTGCAGTTCTTGTGATTGCTCTAGCAGTTGTTTCAAACCAGCATTGACAGAGGTCTTGGAGCAGGCCACGGATGGTGTCAATCACAGGTAATCGAGGAAGAAGAATATTAATTGGCAAATGAATTAATGAGAAATCGGGCACTTTTGTTAATATAACCCATATATAGGGCAGCACAATCCTCTCTCCCTGTTTTATTGCAGGGACACTAGCTGCCAGGTCACCACTGATGTATTATTAAGCATTATGTGCAGGAAGCGAATTATGCCAGTGTTCTGTAGACCCATGCTAACTGGAAGCAAGATACACACTTCTTCTGAGATTAACTAATTAGATACCCTACTTACAAAATGGCTGACTTCCAGATCGTCACACTGTTGATGTAATTTCCTCTGCTTGTTCAAATGATCTGGAGGAAACTTTGCTAACGTTGCTTCCTGCGTACTCTGTACGTGGGATATGTGCAGCAAATGCCACTAATTTCACTCCTTCGTATGTATAGCCTGCATGCACAGCACATAAAAAGGAAAGTAATGTTGCTGCCTACATATATGCTCAAGAAATACATCAGTGATGACCTGACAGCTTGAATAAGCCATTTTTTTACGTTTAGCTTATAATATGGCCTCTACGATATTGAACTTAGGCAACTACATTATAAAAAGGTTGGCTATGTATTTGCAAGTGCCTGAGATTGATGAACTTGCAGAATGGATATACATTTAAAGGGAACGTTCCTTTAGCACATGTAGACAAACAAAAATTATTGCAAATTACAAATGTTACAAATCAGAAAAATCTGTATTTGAGAGGAATGTAGTATTGAAGATGCATTAAATTGTATTTAACTAACATGAGAACTTATTCAATAAATTGCTCTGAACATTTAATATTGCTTGTTTTTTTAACATTGATGAATCGTGACCAGCTTTTCTTATCATTTCTAGGCAGTGATGGAAGTTCAGAACCTACGGCCTTCCTACTGGAAGTTCCTGTTGCGGCTGACGAAAGGAAAGTAGGTGTTTCTGCTAACCTCAGGCACTCACTCACTCCTATTGTTTCTAGAAATAAACCTTGTCAGCGTTTAGTTTAAAGCAACCTTAGAGATAGAATCATGAAAAAATTTTTAATCCAAGAATCCCACTTTTCCAATGCCATCCATTTCTTCTTCCTTTTTCTTTTTTTCCTTATTCCTCTCTTCATTTTCTTTTTCTTCTTCATGCCATTTATGGATAAGGAACATCAAAGTTAGATTTTACCTATTTTTCACTGAAAAATACAAAATTTTGTTGGTAAAAATTTGATAGGTAAAAAAGCTGTGTGTAATTTTGCATTTTTTTTTTACAGTCCAAAGATAGGGGTAGAAAAAGGCAGAAAAGTAGAAATTCAGGAAAAGATGTCAGGGAGACTGATAGAGAGAGAGACAGAGCAAATTTTTCGCTGTATCAGATTGCTCCTCCCCCCAATGTTTTCCTTTGTTTGACATCAAAAACAAACCCTGAGAAATACCCAGCTTTTCATTTTGGGGATGAAAAACAGAGCATGGTAATTATTACTGAGTAAAAAGGTAAGATCCAACTGTGAATAAAATTGCAGAATCATGAGAATTTACAGCAAAGAAAGAGGAGATTCAGTCCATTGATTCTATCCTGGTGCTTGCTCTTGCAATATAATAATAATCCTTGCATTTGACATAGCGCCTTATCACGTCTTCGAGACGTCTCGAAGCGCTTCACAGAATATACTGTAAAGTGAAGTGACTGTATGTTTTGTGGTGAATCCTGGCAGCCAATTGTGCACAGTTGGGGATTGAGTGACCAAATTATTATAATTTTTTTTGAAGGGATTATTACCCCCAGAAAAGCAATCCGCCAATCGATTAACAACCGGGTTCCTACTTACTACTATGTAAACAGGGGCGTGTGGAGTAAGGAAACTTGCCCAACATTTCGCCCTGCTGGGAATTGAACCCAGGTCTTTCGCTCTAACCACTAAGCTACAGGACTCCAATGGTATATACTGTATTAAATAATCCTTAAAATGTCTCCCCATACTTGATCCCTAATTCCTTGTACTTTCTCTGTATCCTTTTATATTTTTTCTCGTCAAATACATATCTGGTTCTCATTTGAATCTTGCTTAATAAATATTTACAAACAACGCTTATTATAACATATGTCATGTCATAATAACATCTACATGAAAATGAATCCTCTAACCTCTTAAATGTTTCAATCCTGTATTTATGGAGTAGTTGTGACAAGTGCATTTTGAATTGCTAGTATGCAAAGATTTTCAGTATTTACTGTACAGTCTCTTTATTTTAACCAGATTTGCCCTGATGAACAGGAGAGCATTGGACGTTTTTGGCTCACAAGCCTCCAGAAACTTCAAGGGATTCATACCTAGGCTGGATCCAAGATTTACTGTTGTGAAACCAGAACTGGAACTCAATTCCTGAATCTGCTCTGGTGTGAGGTTATCAGGATAGACACTTTGTGCAGTAATTCAGCCTTTGAATCAGGCAGTTTTTGACACACGGAATCAATTCCAATGTTTTAATTAAAAAATATATTGGTAAATGATCTGTAATCTTGCTGTTTTCTTTGGGAGCAGAGCTATCCAAATTGAGTTTCTCCATTGTTATATAAAAAATGAATGCCTAATGCATTTAATTCTTGGAGGTGTGTAGTTTTTGTTAATTGACTTCCAGCTTTTGTTACAATTTTACTGGTCATTTCAACTGTGATGTATACAAATTAGTAAATACCATGAATCTCATTAATGGCAACTGTTTGATAGCAGAGATTTGCATTTTATTCATAGCCATATGCACTGATGCTGATGAATTTGTTTGGGAATTCAAATTTGTCTTCCCCTTTACACGGTCTACTATTGTAACTTCAATCCTTATAGCCAATAGTTTAGCTGACAATGAAATGAAGTATCATTTGATGGAATATAAGCTGCTCTATGCCTTGTATAGGACACACTCATAGAGCTAAAATCATAAAGCAATTTTTTCTTACTGTGAAACTGTAATTGACCATTTTGGATGATAAATGTTCACATCACAAAGCCCAGTTGATTCCCATTAAATGAATAAACCCTGAACCACAAAATTGTAAACCCCATGTATTAGAAACTTGCAACCAACACCCTGCTGCACAAATTGTTGTGTACTTTTCAAATTCACTTTCATATATGTAGCTTGGGTTGCTTGTGAAAATAACAAAAGTTATGGAGTTGTTTGTAATTTGGGCTTTAAATACAAATTGCTGATTAAAAACAAAGAAAAATGTTACGTAACCATTCAATTGAATGGAAAATGGCTTTTCAAATTCCAGTCATGGCATAGAAATTCTCAATTATCTGTTGGTCACTGAAAAGGAAATGATTTTTGGGGGGCATCAGCTGGGTGTTTGACATGTGTGGATTGCACCTGGTAACTGTATTACCATGCTTAAGAGTATACAAACTGGAGTTCCATGCATGCTGCCGACACATGGAAATTCCTGTGTCTGCAATGGAAGGTATACTTATTCCCCAGAGGGACACATTCTGTTTACATAATCTGGGAAAGGATTAGGTGCAGGTTGGCAAAAGTTGGCAAGCCTTGGGCACTCTAGAGTATGTGTTGTATACTGCTGGATTTTGACTAGCTAAGACCACCCAGCTTGCCATTAAAAGCACTCTGGCAAACCTGTCCAGCTAGGACCACTATACCAGTGAGTACTTTGGGTCTAGGGTTAATAGGAGCTGAACGGGTTGAATCCTGCCCTCAAAGTCTTAGCGATGAGCTTGGCTGAATAGTCTTTCATCAGCAGTGTCTGGAGTACTGCGGACCTGCATGGCTCAGGGCCAGACGACCGAGACCACCGCAGGAGGTTGATTCAGTTCCGACATTCCATCACCAATCATATTAGTTGGAGCCTGTTAACCTCCATGGTGACCCAGCTTACCTCCATTCCCTCCTCCTCCCCCCCCAGGAGGATAATCACTAGTTGTTCATTTTATAAAGAAGAAATTAATGTAGTGGCTTTTTAATTTAATACCATCTGCCAAGAATAACGCTTTGAGAACTGAAGACATCTGAGAATCAGTTTTATTTCTACAGTTGATGCTGTGTAAACATTTTTTTAAAAAAAAACAATGAAACCATATGTTTGCTGAATTACATGCAGGGGATATACCAGAAACTATTAAATGTGCTGAAATCAGTGCGTTTAGGATTTGAGGTTTTCTAGTTTGGGATTCAAGGTTTTCTAGATCCATGCACGTAATAACTGAAACCTTTCCAACTTCCAGATTTGATCTTGAGATAATTTTCATCCAAAATGGATTAGTTTGCAGGGGTATGGGGAAAAGTCAGGTAAATGGGATTAGGTGGATTGTTCTTTCAAAGAGCCAATACAGACACGATGAGCCGAATGTGCTGTAAATTTCTATGGTTTGGTCTAATTTCAAATTGCAACTAACACCCCCATCTGGGCAATCTCAGCTACATTGGGAGATACTATAGGGGGTGTGTATAAATGTTGTGAATTCCTGGGGAACTCCAGGTATTTAAAAGTCTTATTCCAGATATTTCTAGCAGTTAGCACTGATGGACCTGTTCTGACATTGAAAGTAAACAAGGCTGTATCTTGTGTTCCATCAAACATTGTAACAAATAGTTAGTATATGGTTATATTTATGTGCATTACTTACCTCAAAGCGAAACACATTACAATGTGATTTGCTTTTGTAGCTTTGATCAAAGCTGTGGAGATCAAAATTGTTCTTTGCAAGAGTAAACTGGGAAAAAATAAATAATTTCCTGAGAATGTTTAGAAAGATTATTATAGAGGAATTTATTTAGCAACACATCAGCGCTTTAAAGGGCTCTGTGTCCTTTGCAAATAAATCAATTTAAAAAAAACTGTCAAATCTATATGAATTGAGCTACAAAGGGCTAAGTATTTTGAATAATTTGTATCTGCTTCTGTGTGTGTTTTTTTTGGTACAAAGAGCACAATCTATTCTGTTACCACTCCCATTTATCCATTCTGCCTTAAACCTCTGCCTGGAGAACTTGAGTTTGAAAAACAAAAGAAACAAAATACATTGAAAACAAAGGACATGAAACCCTTCCATTGTCAACAGATTTCTCCAGTGGTTTGGAAAGATGTCTTCACTGGAGAGTGTGTGTAAAAAACAAAAATCTGTACTCCTAGGATACACCATGTTTAATTTTTGTAGGGGAAAAAATTAGAAAACTCAAAATATGTAAATCATGTGATAAATTTACAGGCTGCATCTTAACAAGTTTGTATATTGATATAAATATCCTTTAATTTTAACAATTAAAATACTAATAAAACAACAGTGAGACGTGTCTATTTTAGTGAATTGTAATGAATGAGGGCTGCTGTTGCTTTCACTGTCACTCTGGCTCAGAGGATTGTGTCATTATGCCCCAAGTCATTGAGCTAATAGTCAAGGTAGGCTGTCACGCCAGTTCAGTTCAGTGTTGGGCAGTGATAGAGGAACCATTCTTCAAACCATAGTTCAAATGTTAAACTGAGGTCCTATCTCCCTCTTCTGGTGGGCATGAACAGCAACAATAAATTACATTTATAGAGCACCTCTCACATCGGGAGGACATCTCAAGGTGCTAGATGGTTGAGGGTTTGCACCCGAGCTGGGGGTTGAATGCGGGAGAGTTGGCTGTTGGGGAAAGAAGGTGACTGAAGGTGTGGTCAAAGAGGAGTTCTTGAGATAGATCTTTAAGGGGAGAGGCGAATGGAGCTCCAGAAAGTGTGGACTGATAGGCTAAAAGCCCAATTGCCGACGGTGGGTGGACAGGGTGGGGGACATGAAAGCAGGCCAGTGCCTGCAGAATGGAGGGAGTGGGTGGGCTGGTAGGATTTAAGAGAGTCACAGAGGTAGGGTTGCAGCAAGACTGGAGGAATTTAAAATTGAGGGTGGGGATCTTGAACTCAATCCTTTGGGGGATGAGGAGTCATTGGAGCCGGGGGAGGATGGCGATGATAGGCTTCCGGAGCCTAGAACGGAAGAGGACACAAGCTGCAGAGTTCTGGATGGTCTGCAGCTTGTGGAAGGAAGAGTTGGGAAGTCTAGTGAGCAGAAACTTGACGTAGTCTAGCCTGGGCGTAATGAATGCATGGATAATGGTCTTGGTGGCCCGAGGGGAAGAGGTAGTGGTGGAGGTGGACGATATTACACTAGCAAAGGCAGAGGCTGCAGAGTGGATCCTCTCGATTTTGGACTCAAGTTATAGATATCAAAGCACTATATTGAAAGAGAAGTGAGTTTCTCCCTATGTCTTAGCCTCCAGATAAGTTGTTCATTCTCTACATAACTGTTTATAGAATCTTTGTGTGTGCTAATTGACTGTTGTGTTTGCCCTCACACAGTCACTACACTTGGCAGTAAATGCTTTATTAAAAACCAACTTGCTGTACATCATGCCCTACATGCAGGGTAGTGTCTCGGAGTGCTTTGAAGTTCTTTTGATATGTTGTTTTGATGCAGTGAGGTGCTATACAAATACAAGTTCTTGCCTTCATTATCAGTTTACACATTTTGTCCATGGTAAATCGTTTGGTAACTCTTTCTGGTTTCCATAGATACCTTAGGGAAGAAATTCCACCCGGGTCTAGATTTACTCTATGTCATGTTTTAAAGCATCCAGTATTTGTCAGATTATTGGATTCAGCCTTAATTTGGAAGCCATTTTTCAGTAGTTCTTAAAAGAACCTCCAAAAAAGGCTAAAGGCTGAAGCCTCGCCAAATTCAGGATGTTCTGGAATACTATATAGAGTAAATCTAGATTTCCGAGCCATTTCTCCCCTGTTGTTTTATCAGCTGAAATCCTTATGTAAACCATTAACATGATGATGACAGACAGTGGTGTTCCACAGCAGAAAATCATCATTAAGAAAAGCAATTAAAATATTTCAAATGATAAACTGACTGAAAATGTCATCATAACCAGTTACGGATAATTAGATCAAGAATATATTGATCTGATATTTGCTTTATCAGAATTTGCTGAAGAAATCTATATAGTACTAATAGTTGTTGCTCCCTGTAGGGAGAAATGCCCAATCTTTTGATGCCCCCAAATGAAAGTAGAACCATCCTATTCAATTGCTACCAAAGGGAATGATACGCCAGCAACTAATACTCTCCAGTTTATCTCTGTCAGAACAGTGTTGTGTAGTTTCATTGGAGTCCTATAGCTCAGTGGTTAGAGCACTCGCCTCACAAGCGAGAGACCTGGTTTAACTTCCCGACAGGCAGTTGGCAGTTTCCTTACTCCACGCACCTCTGTTTACCTAGCAGTAAGTAGGAACCAAGGTGTTAGTCGATTGGTGGATCGATTTTTCAGGGGTAATAATTCCTTCAAAAAAAAAAATTGGTCACTCAATCCACGACTGTTTGTGAGACACTGCTGTGAGCAATTGGCTGCCTTGTTTCACCCAGAAAATATACAGGCACTCCACTTTACAGAATATTCTGTGAAACTTTTTTTAAAAAACATTCATGTAGGCATGAAATATACTTTTGAAATTTTCTAATATCCAAATCTGGGCAAGTTTCCAAACAGAATGGCAATTTTCAGTTTTACCAAATACCGACAAATAATAGTGAAACATAAAGGACAGTGTTATCGGTAAATACAAGTTAGTCAGTCTAAGCACAAAACATATTCAGTTATAGTTAACTCTTACTGTAGTCCATTTGATTCAGCTGTTAGCCTGCTGAAACTTTAATGCTTTTCACCTTCCGATATTGATACTGATATTGCAGTGGATTTCCAGTATTTTCTGTTATTTTTGTTTCATATTTCCAGTTAGTTGTGCATTTTGAAATACATCCTCTCCATCCCAAAATGGATTTGGTTTGGAAACTCTAATCCTCTCTTACATTGGAAGACGAGAGCAATTCTTGGGACAATTACCAGAACTCAAGGTCGCTTTGTACTTCTCTGGTAAAAATAACCACTGTATACATATCTATCTATATATGTCCAAGTGTCCCACCAACAGTCATGGATTGAAGTGACCAATCTTTTCTTGATTTTTTTAGAAGGAATTATTATCCCCGGAAAAGCGATCCGACAGTCAGCCAACAACCGAGTTCCTACTTACTGTTAGGTAAACGGAGGTGTGTGGAGTAAGGAAACTTGCCCAATGTTTCGTCCTGTCAGGAATTGAACCCAAGTCCCTCGCTGCAAAGCGAGTGCTCTAACCACTGAGCTACAGAACTCCACATAGTACACACTAAAAGGTAATGTGCTCCTCCAAATGGCAGGCTGCTTGTCTAGCTGAATATAACATCTCTGGGTGTGCCTAGATCTTGAGACTTCAGACAATACAAAAAGAAAATCTGAGCTATCTTGTTCAAAAACTCTTTCTCGTGAATGTTTTGGGCTAGACATGGTTAGACATTAATTAGTTGATGCGAGGTTGCTTCAGAAAATAAAAGGACAAACAAAATAATAGATTCTAGCTTCAATAATAGCTTCCTAATGTACTCTCAGAAACACAATGGATGAATGAAATAATTATAACCAGTGGATTTTTATATGTTTTTTTATCTCCATTGAATTTTCCTTCCAATTGTGTCTAAATGTTTCAATGCATTCATGTATGAAAGCATATATTACTGAATGCTTTTCATACCTCCTATTTGGATCACAATTTAATTTGAGAAATTTAAATTGATTGAATAGTAATGAATTGCATTGAATCATCATTCAAATTTGCAGAGAGAAGCCTTTTGGGCCACTCTTTGAAATGTAAATGCAATACTGGGGCCAGTAGATTCAAATAGAATTGATGACATATTTTGCTTTGTTTGTTTACATATCAAACACATTTGATTAGATGATTGCATAAATTATTTAAAACTATGAAATGCTATTCTACTTTGCTTTGATCTTTGGTCTTATCTTTTGCCTCATTGGAATGAACATGAAACTAGCTGTTGTATAATAAGTATTTCTTTATAGACCTTGTTTTTCTGGCTTGGTTTCCAGTTTTGTGAATACTCTGCTGTGCTCATTACCTGAGCATAATTCCAGAATGTCATATTAACTGTATTAACTCCCACATAAACCCTAGCAAAGCAGATGTTTAAGCTTTCAAGCATATAGCTCTAACTTACTTCTAACTCGTCCATTTTGACAAATGAAATGTGTTAGTAAATGGGAGTGGCACAAGGTACTGACATGAAACAATTTGAAAGAGCAGCCGCATATCAGTGTCTAGGACATCACCATGAAGGACTGAAGTTTCAAAAATGAAACATTGAAAATATATGTATTTTAAAAAAAATGGTGTTCCCAAAATCAGCTTTTTAAAATTCCATGGTTTGTTTCACTCATTG